ACACACACACACACACACAAGAGAGAGAGAGAGAGAGAGAGAGAGAGGCCCTGTGAACTTTACTCACAGCAATGGCAGAGGCTGCTAGCCCAGCTCGTTCCCTTGGGTCTTTGAGGTAGTAACTTCCAAAGTAGAGAATTGTAGCGAAGTACCAAAGGGGTGGGAAGGTAAAACCCAGAAGAAAGCTATCAGAAAAAAGGAAATCCCTCACCATCTTTCTTAAAGAAACAACAAAAAGCAAATGCAAAAGCAAAAGAAGGGAGGAAGAATGAAGTTCATGAAGACAAAGAAACTTACGAAAACCATCCAACGCCACATCCAAAACATGAAAGTGGTTTATCATATAATCCAACCTTTTCCTTATCAGTGTCAGGTCTGAGCAGAGAGTACTTTCCTTCATCTGATCGCCTTTGGACAACCTCTTCATTTGCCAGAGCTCTCCCTGCACATACAACGAGGAATATTAGGTAATGTACACTTGTAAACAAGTATGGGTGGATGCACACCAGTGATAATGACAAGACAGCCCAAGACATATGAACATTGAATTGTTTTATGTTCCTATAAGAGATGAATTATTTAACATCTTACCCATTTGCAGCTATACCAACTCAAAGCCATGTGTTTTTTTATGTGCATTTTGAAATTAAATGAAAAGACAGGGATAAAGTGTTAACTTTGTTCATCTCTCATATTCAAAAAAACAAACTCGGTTCATCTCTTATAGGTAATTTGATCAATTTCCCTTGTTTTATTTAGCAAACTTCCACAATGTTAATGGGTTATGGGATCATAATAATGTCAGAATCTAGAAACTTACATCCCAAACAATGAACTGAACTCTACTGCTGAATTACCCCTCTTTTACCAGTAACAATGTTTGCAAATGTTAGAATGTGGAATAACCGAATAAAAATACACTGAATAATGCTATCTGTATCTAAAAAGTATATCAGCTTATAATTTGTCGACCATAATGCCTATTTTAACTAATCCATTTCATAATCAGCGGTGAATTGGTTGGAGAGTCCCAGTCTAGTTCTTATCCCACACCAGATGGATAGGCATTTTCTCACAAAGCAGGTTGGTACAACGCTTACACTCATTTATTCATTTAAACCATTGATAGAACAGTACCTCTCCTCTTGAAACCAGTTCACCCCATTAAAAACCACATGTTCAAATGAAATATATTTTTCTTCTAAGAAAAAGTTTTCAAGTATCAACTTGGACCAATTAAATTTTTGGGTTATGTACTAATGGCAACCGTGTCCAACTTTAAACAACTCTGTTGTCATCTTCTAATATAAAGGAAATGTTAAATAAAATGATTACTGTAAACCATTAAATATAGTACAGAATATATATCTTGCTCTATCGATTGAAAAAAGAAACAGACATTCCTAATCAAATTCAAGGGACGGGTATACCTTGCTCCATCGATAAAACGCTCATACTATCTTTGTTTATCCAAATTCCGAAACTTGGCAACTCAGATCACAACTATCTGCTTCAGAAAGGACCATGATCAAATTCTATACAAATTCCAGTTTCATAGGCATAAAAAAATATGCATCCCCAATTTTTATTCCTGGAAAGAATCAAACATACCCTGATCAACTCAGGAAAAAAAAATAAAAAAAACCATCATATATTCGTTTTTATAGTTCCCAGTGCGCTATTTTCATATGGTTGGGAAAAAAAATGACTGAAGAGTTTGGAAAGATATGATGCATGAGAGGAACAGTACAAAGCCAGTCCATTAATGAAAATGGAAAAGACACAACAACAGGGCTCAATTCTGACAACAACATATTCTATGAAGACTCGAATATAATGGACTCGCCAATACTCAATAATCCCTACTGATATTATATATAGGAAACCTACAACAATGGCTTCATTGTGTCCAATTGAAACAGTGAATTCAGGGAACTACTTGCAAAAAAGCCATACCTAACCTAATCCATCGACCAAATTTCCCAAGAAGATCAACACCTTCTGAAACAACACTTCACATATACTCTTGGCCTAAGCAAATTTACCCTAAATTTAACACATTTAAATGGCCTCCGAACCCTCCGAGGCCCGCAAATGAGAAAGTGAAATCGAGAGAAGAATGCCATACACAAAGAATTGCCCAGCGATCAAAGAGAACAAACACATCAAATAAGAAATTACCAAGTGAAAATGAAACAGAAAATGCAAAGCAATTCAAAGTTACAATAAAACAAATTACACACAGATTCTAGGGTTCTTCAATCCAAAAAGATTAAAACAGAAACATGAAAGGGTAAACCTGAGAAACCAAAGCGCTCATGAACCAAATTCAAGAAAACGTGTACCTTAATTCGGAGTACGATCATTTCAGAGATCGTTTCAAGTGTTACAAGGTTATATAAAATTTGTTTTTTTTGTTTTATTTTTAATTACAATGTCGTCTTCTTCTTTTGTCACATCGAAAAGCCGTAACCGGCTGACCACGCACCGTGGCGTGCCACGCTCCACCAATAGCCGCTCGCCACGTGGCTAGTCTCTGCCGGGATTTATTCTAAAAGATGGTTTCCGTGAAGGGAATATGCCCGCAAAAGACAGGGGGAGGTGCATAACGCTTTCTATTTACGTTAAAAAGTAAAAAGAGTAAATCTGAAGCCAGCGTTTCGGTGCTGGAGTTGTATAAGGATCTAGAAAACTATTTTGCACTTGGGTCGTCAAATTTGAAGTTTCAAAGGTGGTGAAGAAGTATAAAAATTTGAAAATGGATGGTTTAAATCAGTGTTTGAAAAATCGAACCCGCCTCGGAAACTGGCCAAGGGCTAATACTGACTAACCGGTAAAACGGTGGATTCAATCGGCCTAATCGAACAAGTCTCAGGCCAATCAAAAACTGTCAAAAAAAATACAAAAAAAATCTTACAAAAATGAAAAGTATATTTAAATTAGGATTAAGCAAAACACATCCAAATGAAATTGAAAATTAGTAAAAAATAAAAAATTGATTTGTGTCCAAAGATATTTTTTTAAAAAAAAAAAAACGATAGAAAATTTAAAAATAAGTATACTACAAAATGATTAAAAACATTCAAAAACACATTACAAACAAATCTCTTATTTTTTGAAATTTTATATAATTTTTTTGAATTTCTTTTAAAATATCCTCCCGAATTACCAAAACCAACCAAAATGAGAATGGTCAAGTGACCGGTTCCAATCTAACCGAGCGGTTCCGATTTGAACGACCCGATTTTACAATCACCGGTTTAAATAGTGTTTTAAAACATATAATATTTTTAGTGCTTTAAATTTTTTCTAAATTCACGAAATTCAATTGAGGGTCTTCTAAGGCTAGAACTGCATCTTTTGGCGAAGTTTTATTGTGTTTTTATTGACTGCAAGGTTTGGCACTAAAAACCAAAACTTTCAGGATGCCAAAGCAGTTCCTAGGATTGAAAACTAGGAATTGCACAACACTGAGAAGTGCGCACTTCTGATAAATGAACAGTTGGCAGTTCCAACCGCATGGAGGTGCAAGCTTCTCGAATAATGAGAAGTGCACACTTCTCATGTCAGCTTGTTCTTTCATTTTTAAAGTTTTGTTTTTTCTAAGAACTTGTATCAAGGTGAAATTTTCAAGATAGACTACCGTTCAATCACAATAATCAATATAAAAATAATCCGCAATTAATATAAAATACAAGGAGTGTTTTTCCTCTTTTTATTTATAAATGGCTATTTGTGCTGGGGTGCCACAGACGTGAAGACAGAGTCTTGACATTTCTTAATTTATTTATTTTTTAGCTTTTTTTTTTTAGGTAGAATTTGTGACAAGGGTATTTTGATACAAAACATACATATAATAACTATTTAATGAATTGAAATTCTTTAAAAACTATTTAAGTTATTTCTATGAAGTTATGTATGTTTTGGATCAAAATACTTTTCAAAATTAAATAAAAAATACTTGAGTCTAAGTATTTTTTAGGATTTGAAATTATTTATTTCTTTATATTCATTAATCTCAAAATTAAGATGATCAATTACGACGTTTTCCGACTTAAGAACAGTCTTTTCTATTGGATTTTGAGGAGCACCTTCCTTCTTGTAATGTAACCTTATAGGAACCTTTTTGGTCTTTTTCACTTTTGTAATGCATGTCAAAAATTACGTTTTAGATTCCCTCCACAGGTTCCAACAAATACAATTTTGGACCTAGACAATTATAATTTGGGATTGTTTATAAAGATACTATTTATTTTTTGGTGTGGTTTGTATAAAGTCGAGGTTCTAAACAATCAAAGCAAAGTACAACTTTAAATAGTATAAAAAAGTGTAGTTTCAAACTTCAATACTAGAAATCTTTGTAATAGCCTTTAAATATATCTTCATCTATAATTATAAAATTTAAAGCTTAAAAAATAGAAATCTTGGAAATCTTGAAAATTAACATACTATTTCAAAAAATCAAAATTCATTTTTTTCTCATGTCCATGGATCTTGAGGTCGAGATGATCAAATTGAGGATATTTGGACATCAAAACAACCTCTTCTAGTGCAGTTTTTGAGGTTCGCCCTAATTTAATGGAAAAGTGTTTCATGTAGGCTGGACTGCATATCTACAATATGGGGTCCCAAGGTATAAAGCATGTATCTTAAAGATGGATGCAAATAGGTGGTCCATCTAAAAACAATTGAAACTGACAGTCTAAATGTTTTCTTAATAGAATTATTATTTATAATTTTCAAATTTTATTTATTTATTCATATTCATGACTTCCATATTAGAGACTACATATCCTTAAAACTTAAGTCCCAAATCCATCTCAAAAATAGATTTTTAAGAGGTTACTCATTTCTATATGGACTCCTAGAAACCATGTCCGAAGATAAAGGAAAATTATTTCATGCGACCGCATGACTACATATGTGGTCCAAAAAGTGCAAAGCATCCATCTTAAAGATGGATGCAAGTACGTGTTCCATCTAAAAATAATAAAAACTAATGTCTAAATGTTTTTTTACTATAATTATTATTTCTAGTTTTTTAAATTTGCTTTTTTTTTTATATTCATGATCTCCATATTAGATATTATATGTCATTAAAAATTAAGTCCAAAAGTTCATATAAAAAATAGATTATTAAGAGGCCCGCATTTCTACATATTCAGACTTGGCCGCATAGAAACTAGGTCCAAAAGATAAATGGTATCTTGGTAGACAATCCCAAATAAATTTCATTGGGAAAATAGGGGCGAGAGAGAAAGACAGAGTTTAGAGAGAGACGGAAGGGTCAACGAGATGTCAGGTTTTGGTTAAAATGAGCCATTTTAAAAATTGTTTAGGTCAATCATATAAAGTCAAAGGAGTCCAAGGAGTTGGAAAATAAAAAAGTTAAAGACTTCATGTGCATCTAGATATACTTTAAATCATTGGGTCTCCTAATAAAGGGCGTGGTTTCTATAAGGTTGCAACTTTTAAACAATCCAATAAAAGACATCCAAATTTTATCATAATGTATAATTTTGTCGTAAAACAATACTAGGATTATCTTAAATCCATTTTCATATCTAATTATAAAATTTTAAACTAAAAAAATAGTTAGAATCAAGTAGATTTATAAACATGTAAAAATCTTAAAATTGGACGGTTTAGATAATGTGGTGCAAGATGCACTATTTATGGGACTCAATAACCTTTTTTTTTTTTTCAAATTCATATATGTGGATATCGAGATGATCAATTCGAGGGTTTTTAAACATTAAAACAACCTTTTCGAAAAGATTTTTGAGGTACATCCGTAATTCTACATTTTAAGGTTGCAACCTTGTATAAACTTTTGGAAAAATTGTTAAAACCCTTTAAAATGTACTCTATAGACACTCTACCCCTACCCCAAAATTTTCTCACTTCTTTTTATAAAAAAACTAACTTTTATAACTAAAAACCCCCAACTTAAAAAACATAAATATTAAGACAAAATTATGTCTCCTTTTTAATTTACCTTTTTTCTTCTTCTTTGTTTTACTCTTACCCTATGCCCTGCGTTTTTTACCTTCTCTCCATTCATTCTCCTTCCCTCACAAAATATTCCCTTTCGTTCTCCTTCATCAGCGTATTTTCCCTTTTTCTCTCTACCATTTTCCCTCATGCCCTTCTCCATTCTTTATCCTTCATCACGGTATTCCTATTTCCAACTCCACGATTGTTCCTCATTTCGTTTCTCTCTCTTCAAAGGTGAGTTCTTGTCTCTGTCTTTTTCTACAAGGCCTACTCTCTCTCTCTCTCATGACCTATTTTTTTACTCTCCCCCTCTCTCTACTTTTGGCCCTACTTTATGTCTGTATTTAAGCCAAAACTCTACTTCTCTCTCAATCTCTCTTTTTACAAAGGCTCCACTCACTCACTCTCTCCCACAAAGTATGACGTTTTGTTTCTCTGTCTACAATCAAAGGTCTCACAACTTTGTCACAATCTCTACGAAGGTTTTTCTCTCCCCCATAAAGGTCCCACAACTCTCTACGAAGGTCCCACAAAGCACTGATCCCATCACAGGCTGAGCTCGATTTTTGAGGACCAAGTATGAAAGAATAGTTCAATTAAATATTTAAAAATATTTTGAGAATGCTATTTATGTTGTAACTTCAACTTTGTGGTTAAAGCTTAGCATGAAAACCTTTTTCTTAATCATATGAAGTAAAAATGTGAATCAAGAGCTTGTTGATTGTCTTTAAATTTAGGGAAAATTAAATTTATGTTGTTTTTTATCAAAAGGTGGATGAAAACGTATCGCTAAAATCTATTGTTGGGTTTTTTATTTAGCCACATTGGCTGTATTTAATTTGTCATTGACAAATGAAAGAATTGATTGGTGACTCTTAAGATGTATTGATTTTTTTATTCTTAATTTGTTATGATAAATGACAGACAAAACTTAGGTGTATGTAGTAAAAGAATGGATAGGTAATTTGTTTTTGGCTCTGAATTTTATCTGCCATTTATCATTGTGCATTTTCTATATTTCCGTTGGGGTAAGCCACACTAATGGTTGGTTATTTCTGCCTAATTTTATCGAAACTAAATTGATTACTATACAAGTTCTTGTTTTCTTATTTTGTCAAAGGTATAGTGGAATATTTAGTAATTTTGGTGTTTGGCTCTTCAATTTCTAATGTGGCTTTTGCCATCATTGAAAAACTAATGGAAAAAATTGTCTTTATATTCACTAATTCTAGTGGAGTTTAAATGAGTGTTATTTCATTTGTAATTTTTTGAGATGACTAGTTGTCTAAATGAAGACAACTAACGGTTTTCAAAGAAGATTCTGATAGCTTCTGGTTCATTACCATCTTAAATCACTGGCTCTCTTCCAATTTATGAAATTAAGTGCCATATGGCTGCCAATCAATGTTGTCATTGATATCTTGTTATCTTGTTATACTTTGTAATTTTTACCATATTAGCATGCTTCACTACACAAAAGATGCCAGATCCCCAACTTTCCATCATTCAGGGGAACCCAGCCTACCCAATAACCTTGCTCTTTGGTTGGCTAGTCTATGTAGATCAATCCCTCTAAG